GGAGCTGTAGTCAATGAAGAGTATCCTGATGTAGGAGTCTCCATTTTCCAGGTGAGAAAGGGAATAGTGGAGGGCAGCCATGATGGCGTCTGAGGTGGCCCTGTTGGGCCGGTAGGCACACTGCAGGGGGTCCAGGGGGTCCGGTATACTGCTCTGAATGCTCTGATCAGGCGCTGTTTCAATCACACCTGGTGCAACTAGCCAAGGGCTTCATGGACCAGGTGAGCTTGAGACAGAACACATCAAATACCTGAACTGGCTCGCTCCAAGGTTTGTTAAGCGTCACATTTGATTGCATGTTAGAATCGTGGCTAAATCAAAAGAATTGTCAAAAACATTTAGAGAAGAGATCACGGCCTTTCACAAACAAGGAAAAGGATACAAAAGTGGAAGCACAGTTTGCAAGTTCAGTTAAACGAACAGTGGCTGCACTACCTGAACGTGGCAGAAGAAGGAAGCTATCAACGGCTGCAACCAGGTGCTCTGGGGCTGCTTTGCCTTCTCTGGCACTGGGAACCTGAAAAGTGTGGAAGGCCAGATGGATTCATTCAAGTATCAGGAAATCCTAGGAGAAAGCGTCACGCCATCTGTGAGGAAGCTGAAGCTGGACCTTCCAACAGGACAATGATCCCAAGCATACCTCAAAGTCCACCAAGGCTCGGCTGTAGAAGAGGTCCTGGAAGATTCCAGAGTGGCCGTCATGGTCACCTGACTTGAACCCCATAAAAAATCTCTGGTGGGATTTGAAGGAGGAGGTTGCAGCATGCAAACCCAAAAATACTAGTGAACCGGAGGCCACTGCCCATGAGGAACGGGCTACAATTTCTCTGTCCCACTGCCAGAAGCTGGAGTCTGGCTGTGCATCAGGTTTGCAGCAGGTCGTGATGGCAAAAGGGTGCTGTACTAGGTACTAAAGATGATTGTCATGAAGGTGTTGACTCATTTTGAGACTGTAAAATCATTAAAAGCATTTTGTGTTAAATGTGGAGAAACCATTTGTTATATTAGTTGAGTTCTTGATTTGTTCTTTACAGACAGCAGAACGTTTGTAAATTTTGCCAATACACCTAATTTGCAACGGGGATGAATAATTCTGACTGCGACTGTATGAGATATCATGTTGATGAGAACGGGATGGCCGGACAACACAAAAACCTTGAGCTTCTGGCTGCAGCTGTTGCCGGCACGGAGACATAAAAAGTGCAAAGGCATGTTTTTCTGTTCATAAAGGTCTTCGGTACCTGACGACATTATGAGGGAACTAAATGAATCTGCAGGGTATCAGTGACGAAGAGGTGGATGGGTCCAAGTTTAGCTCTGGCACTCTCAGTAACAGGCAGGTCAACCCAAGTGTCAGCACTTCCCTGCGAGAGATGGATCGACTCATTAGTTCCAGGCTCCTCTTCTAAAGCCCCTCCTGGTTCCAAAATGGCTCCCTGTAATAGGTGGCCCTTTACCTTTAAAGGCCTGCTGGTCATCATATGTCACAGGTAACGAGGTCTGTGGACTGTCAGCAGAGGAGCAGCCTCTGCCTCTCACACCTCATTATCAGACAAGTGATAATGAGGGAGCTGGAGGCTGAAAATACTGAATGAAGGTGTAGTGTGCAGCCTGCTTGATTATTTTCATAGTTATGGACTCAATTTCTATCAGTAATAAGAAAACTGAACTCGCTATGCTAATAGCTGAGATCTAGGCACACCACTGTAACTCAGATCTGTTTGGTCAGTCAGGATGTCATCATCTTACTGAAGTCTTGAGGTCTTTGAACCTTAAACTGTGAGTCCACAGATTTAAATATGATAACTCAGTGGTTTCTTTGCACTTAACAAGTGGGACATTATCACATGCGACATGAGCTCTGGGTTGTTCAATATTCCATCTCACGACACAGTTGGCCAGCAGTGGGTGTAATGAACATCTTTACCTTGTCTTGTCCTGAGGTGAGCTGCTGCATCTGTCCTCATGCGCTCTGGGTGGGCGTGGGACGCGCTTTGTCACTTTGATTTCACCTTCAGCCTAAAAGACACATCAGAGGAGGAAGGCCTGTTCACTCGTGGTCTTTGCAAACAGCTTCTGCAGTTGTACTTCTGAAGTGTTTACTAGTGCAGGATGTATCACAGGCAATGTGGAGGACCAAAAGCAGCAGCATCTGTCTCTCTTCACAGAGACTGTAAGTAGCTCCTTCATTTAGCCCGGTCCTCACTGTCACCACAGAAAACGTCACGATTTAACAGGTTTAATGAGATTTCTCTCAAACTTCTCTTTAAAAAAAGCCACAGACTGCTGGGTCAGATTTCATTTCTTCGCTGACGTCGCCACCTACAGGACTCACATTTTCAGACACAACACTAAACCCCCAAAGAGTTTTAATGTTGAGAACAACCCACTCTTACAGACATATATATCAGATTATGATAAGGTCAGCACCTGGTTTACAAGTCACTCTGCAGACCATTATTGAGAGACCATATTTTATTTAAGTAAAAGTGCTAGTATTACAGTAGCATCAAAAATAAATGAAGTACCAAAAGTCCTGTTTATGCAGGATGCAATAACAACGTCCATTATAGGATTATAACTATTGATGTGCACATGAATTTAATGTAGCAGCTGCTGCAGAAAGGCGGGGCTAACTTTACTGACTATGTACTGCTGGGTATTCTGTGGAAATCCCCCAGGGATCAATAAAGTCTGATCACATCATATCTTAACCTATAACAACACAATCATAGAACATCATAACTTTGTTGATTATATTTCAACCTGTTTAAATAAAGCTATCAAATAAATGCAGCGGAGTAAAAGTAGAGGGTAACAGAGTAGGAAAGGATGGAAATAGCTCAAAATTGTACTATAGTACAGCACATGGATGAGTAGCACTAATCATTACATGTAAACTATGACATGTAAAATCCTTTACTCCTTTTAATTTCACTGTACAGTTCAGGCTGATTGGAACCTGTCTCTGCTGTTAGTAGTACCTGATCATAAGCTGACGTGCTAAAAAGTCATTTTAGCCTTGATCACAACAGATGGAGAGATGCAAACTAAACTCGTACCAAGGACACTGCGGTTGATGATTGGCATCTTAACCTCAAAGTCTGGAGCAAGTTTTGAAGTGACATCAGTGGCTCCCTGAACAGGATTCGTGTGTGTACGCCTTTAGGACCACCCCTGTCACTCCCAGCAGATTTTTCTGTTGCGCTGTCCCGTACCAAGCTCAGATACTGTGTGTCTGAGCTGCTGTGTGACCGTACGTACCCTGGGCATGGTGAGGACCAGGTGTCCTGTGGTCTGGGATCTCTGGGCTGTCGAGCTGTCAGGCTTCACTTCAGCAGGCAGAACCACCTGAAATATCTGCACAGGAAATTATTCATAACTTTAATTAGCAAGATTAATACGCTTATCTGACACCGACGCTGTCCCCGTGTCAAATGACTTTAATCATCAGTGGGTCTTTTTATAGCTACACTTTCCAGAGAAGACTTGGCTGAGTGACCAGAATAGCTCCGAGTGAGAAGGGTGGTAATCAATCACTGGGGCGAAATCCCATACAAACCAAAATGATTCATAAGGGAGGACAAAATGGGCATGAAACTAGACTTTTTCATTTTTCAATCTACTTTTATTTGATGCTGAGGGGGACTTAGGGGAACCGCTAACAGTAAGCACCATCCTCTGCAGGCCCTGCAGCTGTCAGAGCAGGCTGACGTGATATACACACAACACAGATGGCTCCTCCAGTCAATGCCCTCTACTCCTCTAAATTAGTTCATATTAAGAGGGGATTTTAGAGGCCTGAGTGGATGCATCTCTGCATAAATCACACCACCCGTCCAATCAGACCCCGGCATAAAACAAACATCCATAATTACACTAATGGCTTAGAGCAGGGCCGTGACATTCATGACTCTGGCAGCAAGGGCTGAAAAACCAGCAGAGCTCTGTATTTATTTTGCTGGAGGGTGAAAACAGGAACAGGAATAAAAAACCTCTTGGATTTATGTGTGGTTTAATCAGACTTAAAGGTCACTGTGGTCTGTTTGTGGGAGATTAAAACCCTCCACACTCGGTGCTGCTGAGGGACACATGGGGGCTGAGTACATGGAGGTAAAACTCTGTGGTTACAATGACGAGCACAGCTGAGCCTCCCATCACAATAAACCTCGGCCAGACTTCAGCAGATCTCACGCAGGGCTGGAAACGAACGCTCGACACAAGAGAAACGCTGCTCAGCTTCTGCTGACACTGAACCTTCCAATTAGGGCAGGAAACTCAGTGGATCTCAGGTTGTATTTGCCTGCATTCTGGCTGACCAACGTCAGGATTTACCATGGAGAATGAGAGTTTCTGTCCTGCCCTGGACAGTCTTTTATTCACCCTAAATCTGAGTCTTCATCCATCACATGTCCCTCAGCTCCCGGCTCAGCAGCAAGCATCACCTTTATGAACCCACAGCAGCCTGTAATCAGATGGATAAATCCATACTGACAGATCACTATATTGGAAGGGTACTGCAAGAGTGTGTGAAAGATTCAAGAGAAACAGATTTCAGAATGAGAAAGAGGAAAGATAAAAAATCTGAACCTTAAGGACTGACTTTGTTTCAACACCTATTCCAATACTTAGCAGACGCAAGGTTACTTTTAGAGATGCATATACAGACAATGCAAAGATGTAAGTGGAGGGGAACCGATGTCAATTCACCCAGGGCAGCAAAAATGGAGCCACAGATGTCCACACGAGAGCTGAAAATGTTTGAATATGAGAAAGAGATCTCATCTCGGAGGGGGGTGGGTTTACACTGCCGCAGAGCCGAGAGGTGAGAAAATGAGTTTCTGGGAAGTTCTGAGACTCACACTCACAATGCGCTGGAGCGTGTCGAATGTTCTCTGAACCAGATCCCAACTGGAACCAGCTATCAGAACCCATGCCTAATAAAAACACACTGCATGCTCCCCACAGCTCAAATTTGCATAGCCCCAAACACTCCTTTACACATCACAGCAACTTAATGCTGTAATGTCTGGACACCAAGAAGGTGAAGACAGCTCACACCCTGTCTCCTAACAGTCAGCGTTGGCTTTTTTCAGCCATAAAGGGAGTCTGTCTCCAACCCTCAAGTGTTAAAGACCATAGACATGCTCGCTTTTGTCATTTAGGGATAAGGACTGTTCTCAAATAACCAGGGAGGCCGACTGGTTGCATATAAAACTTTGAAGCAGCTGGGAAACACTGTGGCACTGGCTCTGCTGAGGGTAATATTAACACTGGGCAGTGTGCCTGCTGCTACTACTGTCTGCAGGAGATGATCTTTGACTTGTCAGCTACATAAACACTGCACAGTGAGAAACCAGAGCTGCACTGAATGGGCTACATGTCAATTGTTTCTGCAGGCTTTAGAAACTAGCAAATCCCTGGACTAACAAATACCATGCACACATCAATACAGTGAGAACAGCAAACAGAAAAGAACCTGTTAATCTGGGAATACTTGTGCTGCTCACTGGTTTAAGTTGACACAGTCTGGAAACATGAGTAAGAGATATTTCCTTTCTAACTATTGTCGCAGTGCCCTTGGGCAAGGACTCTGACTGGCTGACAGCAGCGGTCTGTGGTTAAACTGGACAGTTTCCAGGGTGGGGGTGTGGACACCGACACTGAGCCTGCAGCTCTGACAACTTTTCCTGAAACAACTTTCTAAAAATAGTAAGGTTTATATGATTTTCCTGAAAGATTTCCTGTTAAGCAAATTTAAAATCAAAGTCATGAGTCAACAGGCTGAATTATGGATCACGGAGGATCAGTGATTTTTCTTTGTTTTTAAAAATGTGGGGTATATTCTTAGATACTCTGGAGGCTTGTATCACAAATGCATCAGCACAAAAGTCTGACCTATAAACTTCAGAAGTCAACCGAGATTTGGGTCTATATCCCTGTAAATTTCAGAATGAATGTACTTATTAGAAAGTTCACAGTGTGCAGGGCACAGTGCTGAGGAAGCCCTTCAAAGGACTGTTACCTAACCAGAAGGTTGTCAGCGAGTCCGACTGTTCAAAGCTCCACAGCGTACTGTACAGCGTACCTTTCCTTTGACGGTGACTCTGGCGTATGTTGGCTGAACATCCACGTCCATCAGGGAGGTGTCCATGTGTCTGTGGGGGGAGTGGAGGTCCCAGGTCAGTTTATAGAAAGACACACAGACAGTTGTATCCGCAGTCTATATGGATCATGTGTCCAGGTGTGGAAAAAATAAAAAACATTTTGTGCTTCAGACATTAAACTGCTCTGACATGAATGACAGAAAAAGAAGATACTTAGTTATAGTTTGGTACATTTTATGATCATTTTAATTCTTTTCTGGTGGAAGACATAAGAAAAATAGCAGCAGTTTGACGTGATGTGGCTGTAGCTTTCAATCAAATTTTCGACTGATGTACAGACGGTGACACAAGAGGAAACACCTGAATAACTGAGAGGTCTCCTTCAGGATGACAGAGCCCCCCCATCCACAGGGCATGAGGGGTCACTGACTGGTCTGAGGAGGATGACCATGATGTGAATCAGATGCTGTGGCCTTCCCAGTCACCAGGTCTCAGCCTAGTTGAACAGCTATGGGAGATGTTGGGGCGACGTGTTAGACGGCGTCTCCACCACCGTCTTCAAAACACCACATGAGGGAACATCTGGTGGAAGAACAGTGCTCAGCCCTACAGGAGAGTCAAGAGACTTGGAGAGTCGGTGCCAAAGTGGAGCTGTTCTGGTTCACGTGGCGGCCCAGCACCTCACTGGGACTCTCTGTGTTGGGCTGGCCTTCCATCTATCACTGTCTGTGCATTAAGAGGCATTTCCCCACTGACTGGGTGGCACAGTGGTCACCAAGACATGCAGGTCAGGTTATTGGTGACTAAAAAGTACTAATATGACTCCATGTGACCCTCTGAAGGATAAGTGGGTGTAGCTGGTGAGTGCAAGGATGGATTTTCCCACTGGGTTTTATAAGGTACTTTATCTCAGTTATGGTTCAAAATGTAGAAAATACAGGAAAACCAGCAGCCAAAGCCTGAATGTCCATCCTGTGATGAACTGGTGATCTGGCTAAAAAGATTCGATAATATGATATTTTGCCTGCTGAGGCTGCTGAGGGTGGATGTGTTCAGCAGTCCTACCTGTACACTGCCAGGTCCAGGACAACCGTGTTGCTGTCTTCATCCTCAGTCAGAGAAAAATCTAACCTGGTGACGCACAGACAGACGCACAGTTATAAACACAGAACTGGTCCAACTCCACAGCAGCTAATTCCTCTCTGAGTACCTAAATATAATATTCCACAAATATAATAATGCACAAAACCTTTACTGATGTTTTGGATACTGAACCACTGCAGCAGCACAGAGACTCAGACACCTGCCCCCAAAACCTATTTCTGTCAACAGCCAGGGACTTTCTACTGCACAGGCTGTGCCACACTCTTCATACTGTGTCGTACTTACTGGGACTGTAAAGAGGATTCAAATGTCCTGCTTAAAGGGTCAGTTCACCTTAATCCTATTACCACAAAATGTGTTTTCAGTATTGAACCACACGTTCCCTGTGGTGTTGGCAGCAGGTTCTGCTGAGCAACGTTTCACTTCAGCTGTACATTTAAAGACCTACATCTCTTTAGCAACGTGGCTCTTGGTTACATTGTACCAAGCCATCATTTGTATGTGTTACAATGTAGAGACACTGTTAAACACATGTCCAAGTCCAACAAACGGAGCAACAGATGTGGTCAGCTGCAATGGGGGACAGGTTTCCTCCTTAGGAAACACGGGAGGCTGTGTGTTTCCAACAAGCAGCTCCACAGGCTGACAACAACATCACTGTGTGCAGAGTCTGAGGGAAGAAAGTTCCAGCTGCACATCCTAAACCAGGTTCTGGATTCACATGGATTATGGCGAGTGCACAAAATTCATAGCTGGTTATAGTTGTAGTGTGGGATGTTCAGACACAAAATCACCGGCCTTATCCTTTAAATGAATTCTGTGTTTGTACTTGGGCTCGTTGACATTCAGGACTCGTCCGTCATCAGTGATCAGCGTCCTCGGCCTCTTCTCCTGCTCCCTGCAGGAAAACAGCAAGACGTTACTGCAGACTGTAGAGTGACAAACAGGCACATACAGCAGACTGCACCTCTAGAGAAGTTGACCATTTCACAGTTTCTAACCAACATTTTAGATGTGTCCAAGTTTGCAGGAAACAAGGAAAATATGAAGTAAATGTGGATCATGAAAATCCACACAGGAGATCTTAAAATGTCACCTCTGTGCCCTAAAACCTTTTCTTTGTAATGACTTACCAAATACACCACTGGTTCCCAACCTTTTCATTTGCGACCCTTAAAATGAAGCATGTCTACTTGTGACTGTGGACTTAGCCTGGGCATCGAACCTCAACACTCTTTTTGGTACCAAACGGACCGTCTCTAGAGCTTGGGAAACTGTTCCAGCATAGTGTGGATGTGATGAGAGCAGTGAAACAAACTGCTTAATTTGTTTTTATTCAATATTTATGTGAATACTGATGAGACAATCAAAAAAGGAATCAAAAACAGGTTTGTGTGGTTTGCAGTGATGTGTCAGTGACTGCTAACTAGCAACGTGACAGAGTGTGAATGCTGAGTGAACCCTCCCAGCTGCCGACTGACATCGCTGCACTCATACACACAGAGGCAGCGAGTGTGATGGGAGACTGACGAAGCACAGTGAGCGGTGGAGGTGCAACACACACACACACACCCACACACACACACCCAATTAACACCTGGCAAGAGGGTCACCTTTAGGGTGAGCGCTAATTAGCAGCATGGTGGGAAAAATGAATTAGACTTTAACAAATACTTTGCTGAGTCACATCCAAGCAGCCTGAAACACAGCGCACAAACACACCTGACGTGCATGTGACTGGCTCACGGTGACGGTGACGGTGACCACAGGCTTAAAGAAGGAGGCTCCTTGTTCACCTGTGTCCTGGTGATGAACCATCACCACAGGACTGCAGATGGAATGCCACAGACCCACTTCAGACTGACAAGAAAGTCTCTGGCCTTTGTTTTAAAAGAGTGCTGACTCAGCATTCTGTATTTGATCTGAGTCATGGTGACGCCTACCACATTGAAGATCACTGCTATCATAGTGAATTATCTGGTTAGATAAGACACGAGAAGAGGCAGCAGTGACTGAATCACTACAGTATATACAGTGTGTAATTCACCCATCAGTTATTGTTTGATGAAACCGCACGTTGGCCAAGAGAGGCAGAAAGACGGCGGAAACACTGACATAGTTAACCTCCTGACACAGGAGGCAGATACGATGCTCAGTCACATCAGTGATAATGTGTCCAGACTTCTGCCAACCCATTTAGAAGGAACTACTGGGTCACACTGCCTGCAGTGTTACAAACTAAACTGTGTCAGAAGCTTCTGTTGAAAACGCTCCATTTATGTCAAGTGTTTGGAAGCTTAACCGTGTCATGTTCAACCTTAATTTGTATCAGTGTTTTTAAGACAGTGTTCATGCACACTTTTTCATAAAAGCCCTAAAAACCTATTTTCTCCACACACTCATGACGCATGAACACACTGCTTCACAGTGGTCTGAGGCGAGAATTGCCAGAACCTGATTCTGACGACCGGCAGATGTGGCAGGCACAGCTGGAGGGTGGCTGGTGGTACAGCGACACCCAGTGGCAAAATCGGAAAACTGTGTGGAAAAACCTTCAGGCTTTTTCCTTGTTTTGATGATTTTTTTAAGTGAAGGGAATTAAAAACCCCCCCCCCCCCCCCCCCCTTCTTATTTTGGAAATGTGATTTCAGAGTGGTTTGATGGATCAGTTCACAACATAAACACACAATGCAGCACTGTGCACTAAGAGTTTGGAGCTAAAAGAAAATGAGTAATTTTAGCACATTTAATTTTAGCCACAATCATCGTTTAATTTTTGTTCTATCTTTTAAAAGCAACAGTGAATAAAGATTTGAAGGCGGGTGAAGCTACAGTTTGGTGAAGTCAGCTGCACCCATGTACTTTTATTAATGATAAATGTGTAACAAATTAAAAGTAAAGTCAGTCTGCGCACACTTGCAGCAGAGTATGAGGGGCCATATAAGACATTATGTATTCTCGACGTTTCACACACATACATTTTCACTCTCACATGCATATATTCTCCTCACACATGCATATATTCTACTCGCACACATACATATATTCTACTCGCACACATACAGTCTTATGCAAAAGTTTAGGCACCCCTTGATAAATAACAGATTTTGGTGATTTTTTATTTGAACAGATGTTAACACAGTTTCTCTTGGAAATGGAAAAAATGCACAATATTTTCAGCAAACAGTGATGCATAGTTACTTCTTATGCCATAAATTGAACAAAAATAAAAAATAAAAACATTATTATGGCATGGTGCAAAAGTTTGGGCACCCTAAGAGTTCCAGAGTCTCAAAGTCTCTCACAAGGTATCAGACCTTAATCAGCTCGTTAGATCTGATGCACAGCAACAGCTGTCATTGGTAAATGCCAATTTCAAAGCTGTACAAATACTTTGACTCTTCAAACCTTGTGCACACACTTGTGGACACCCAGCAACCATGGGTTCCTCTAAGCAGCTGTGTAAGACCCTGAAAATGAAAGTTATTGACGCCCACAATGCAGGAGAAGGCTACAAGAAGATAGCAAAGCGTTGTCAGCTTGCAGTTTCCACAGTAAGAAATGTAATTAAGAGATGGCAGATCAGGGGAACTGTGGAGGTCAAGATGAGATCTGGAAGACCAAGAAAACTCTCGGACAGAACTGCTCGTATGCTGGTCAGAAAGACAAATCAAAACCCCCATTTGACTGCAAAAAACCTGCAGGAAGATTTAGCAGACTCAGGAGTGGTGGTGCACCGTTCCACTGTGCAGCGATGCTTGCACAGACAAGGCCTTCATGGAAGAGTCAGCAGAAGAAAACCTTATCTGCGTCCCCATCATAAAATCCAACGTCTGAAGTATGCAACAGGACATCTACAGAAGCCCGATGCGTTTTGGAAACAAGTGCTGTGGACTGATGAAGTTAAAATAGAACTCTTTGGACACAATCAGCAAAGGCATGTTTGGAGAAAAAAAGGAGCAGCATTTCATGAAAAGAACACCTTGCCAACTATTAAGCATGGGGGTGGATCTATCATGCTCTGGGGTTGTGTTGCAGCCAGTGGCACAGGAAACATTGCACGGGTGGAGGGAAGAATGGATTCCACTAAATACCAGCAAATTCTGGAAGCAAACATCACACCATCTGTAAAAAAGCTGAAGCTGAAAAGAGGATGGCTTCTACAACAGGACAATGATCCTAAACATACCTCGAAATCCACTATGGAATACCTCAAGAGACGCAGGCTGAAGGTTTTGGAATGGCCATCACAGTCCCCTGATTTAAACATCATTGAAAATTTGTGGGTAGATCTTAAAAGAGCTGTGCATGCAAGACGACCAAAGAATATTACAGAACTAGAAGCCTTTTGCAAGGAAGAATGGGAGAAGATCCCAAGTACAAGAATTGAAAGACTTTTAGCTGGCTATGAAAAGCGTTTGCAAGCTGTGATATCTGCCAGAGGAGGTGTTACTAAGTACTGATTGTGTAGGGTGCCCAAACTTTTGCACCATGCCATAATAATGTTTTTATTTTTTATTTTTGTTCAATTTATGGCATAAGAAGTAACTATGCATCACTGTTTGCAGAAAATATTGTGCATTTTTTCCATTTCCAAGAGAAACTGTGTTAACATCTGTTCAAATAAAAAATCACCAAAATCTGTTATGTATCAAGGGGTGCCTAAACTTTTGCATAAGACTGTAAACACCAAACGGCAGACAGGCAGTGGACCTTATTCACTAACATGCGCATAGAAATGTTCTTACCTTGTGCACAAAATAAGTGCAGGAGACATTACCATCATATTCATGACACCAGCCAATTTTGTTCTTTCTATTGTGTGTATGTTAGTGTAAATCAGAATCATTCTAAAATGACAGGCGCATTCCAGTGGTTTTCAAGTAGCCTGCTGCCATGCCCCCATTTCTCTATATACTTATAAACTAGAACAGTTTTTTAAATTTAATTTATTTCAATTAAAACTGTGATTAATCAGAATGACAGGGCATTAATTTCATGTTTATTTAATATGCTACATTTGGTCAATGCATTAGTAAATTAATCATTATAGCCTTAAATTATATTAATCAATTATATTAGCTATTAAAACCTTTTTAATTAATATAGTTTCAGTTAAAATGTGTTTGCATTTTTTAGCCAGCCAGGCCTTCATCATTTGTTCATACACATGGGGTGAGGCAGTATTAAATTTGTTCACAGAGTATGAACAAATTAAGGTAAGAAAATATTGATACAGAATATTGAATAAAATTGTGCATAAATTGTTTGTATACACGGTTTCAGCACAGAATTGTGTGTACACACTGTTTGTGGACGAGGCTTGGTGCTAGCAGCTAACTGGTGAACATACTCAAGCAGTTCGTAGATTAAGAATCAGATATTTTGGAGTTGGTGGAGACCAAAAACAGAGCTAAAAGAAAGTACTGTATATATTGGACCTGATGACCAGACACGTGACTCCAAATGGCAATAATGCTCTGTAACTGCTGGGTGTGTAAATAAGCAACTGCTTGCTGACAGGTTCACAAATTCAACTTAAAAGGTGAAGATATGTCAATATTGAGTCCCCAGGCAGTGAAAAAGGCCATTATTGCAGATTTAAAGCTACAGTAATGAGGGCAGCAAAATGAGAAAGGTGATGCTCATATTTTTGAATGAGAATTAGTTTGTCATTGGACTCTGAAGTTCTCCTTACAGCTGGGCTTTTAGCATCCTTCACTGTTTTCATTCTATAGTCCACAACTTTGCTGTTTTGGTTCACTCTGAGCACTGTCATCAGTGATGTTATTGGACACGACACCCTATTTTTAATAAAGAATGGAAAATGGTTTGGAAATCACAGGCACAATTGTTTGTGTTGCAGCAGTCACAGGTAAATTGCCTTTTGTTGCAATAATCACAATGATCACATTGACATGTTGAGGCCCATATGTATTTAGTCTGTTTAGCCAGTTTTTTTTTTATTACATATCAAATAAGACAAAATAAGATGGTACAGTTTTGAATCATTTAAGGTTGTAGTGATATGGTACAGGGGTGTACTGAGTTTTGTTATATACTATATGTTCAGCTGCCTCCAGCTAATGTTCACTGTGCAGCTGTAACTATGAAGAGATTGAAAAGTGCACTTATGCTCTCTAGGCTGCAGGACTTACAGTACAGCACAGCAAATGAACTTAGCTGTAAACCTTTACTGCCATGCCTTCTCTGTGCTTACTTTTGTAGTAAATGTAATTTCAAGTCTTACTACCAATTTCATTATTTCACTCGTAATGAGAGTTGTTTAAATGAAGGACATTTCCATCAGCAGTCCCCAAGCTGAATAAGATGACCAGTAAAAGTTGAACAACTGCAGTGATCCATGCTATGAATTCAAGATGGTTAACACTAATTTAGGATACCTGTGTTTCGGCCTGTTCTTTTGCATTTGAATAAATAATCTCTTTGTGCTTCCTTGTCTTCTTTCCTTTTCTCATTATCTCACTATCAGAGGCACTCTCATTTCAGCCTGGGTACATTAATCATTCTTGAGGCCTCAGCTGGTTTCTGAGATTTAATCATTCAAAGAGGAATGGAATAAATATATTGGTGTTCTAATTTGATACTGTATGTGCAGATTAGATAACGGACACCCTGTGGTGAGAATCCAGACCAACCATTCTCAGCCATCCATCTATGTACCCGATGACTGCCATAAAACAGAAAAAGGATGTCTTAAACTAAAATTCCACGACCATTTTATTTAGTCCAAGTGACTGACTTAACATGAGGTTTGGTGTGTTTCAGTCAATTTGTTAGTATTTTTCACACCAATGTAGCAACTGTAAAATTAGCATTATACTTGTCTTATGTTTTTTGCTTACCTTTTCCTCGATCGGGACCTCCAGTTGCCAAAATGTTTCTGAGTCTGATATCAAAAGACTGTCGCAATCATGCATCTTGTCCTTGTGTAGCTGCCTGCTCAGGAAAACCGACCTGTGAGCTGCCAGGGCTGGAAAGTTCTCTCATCTCACTTTCCACCGAGCTGTGGGCTACCCTGGCCACATCGCCTGTCGCTTGTTGAACAACGGAGGAAGACAACGACGTTACAGTTTCGGGGGAAGCGAGAATATTTCTTAGAACACCAATGGCTTGCTGCAGTACTCGTCCCTCATTTCCTCCGTCCATGCTTGTCGGAACTTACGTGCATTACCTGCGCTTAGCAATCACATTGCATTATCTCCCGCCGTTTCTACTATACTGCTTCCGTTTCCACTATACTCATGCACGCACACACATATATTCTCCTCTCACACACATATATTCTCCTCTCACATACATATATTCTCCTCTCACACACATATATTCTCCTCTCACATACATATATTCTCCTCTCACACACATATATTCTCCTTTCAGTGGAGGAATTAATATATGTATGTGTGAGTAGAATATATGCATGTGTGAGGAGAATATATGCATGTGAGAGTGAAAATGTATGTGTGTGAAACGTCGAGAATACATAATGTCTTATACGGCCCCTCATAGCAGAGGTCTGATGGGTGTGAGGGGCTCTAATGAGATTCAGATCAAATTTGACCAAAACAAAAGTCCTCATTTTAAACAGAAACAGTGGAGAGCACTTACTTCTCCTTGGTCCTCCTCTCCTCGGCCCTCCTCTCCTCCTGCAGGTGCCGGTGGGCCTCCAGACGAGACTCAGGGGTGAATGAACACGGCGTGTGCCAGAACTCCCTCTCCCGCTGCTCCTTGTCTAGGTCAGGACTCGTCGTCTTCGGCTTTGTGTCCTCCTCCACCTCCTGGTTCTGCCCTGGACTACAGAGACAGAAGAGGCTGAGTAAAAACTCAAGATGAGATTTGTCAATGTAAACTTTCCCAGGTCTGTGCAGTGTCAGTGAATTCAGCTCAGCAGGGCCTGAAGTGAAATAAAGCAGCAGCTGCAGTGAATTATCTCCTCTAGGCCTGTACTTCAGTTCAGTTTGGAGGTTCTAATAATAATCACTTTTAATGTCCAAATAAGTTACACACACATTTGTCTCTGGTACGAATGGAGGCCTCCAACTCACACACTGATGGCGGCGCTGTCCATCAGGAGCAACTTGGGGTCTTGCTCAAGGACACTTTGACATGTTGACTAGGGAAAACGGGAATTGAACCGCTGACTCTCCAGTTGGAAGGACGACCACTGTGCCTCCTGAGCCACAGACACCTCAAACACATGGTGAGAACGCTGCCTGGATCAGTTGCTCTTACCCTCCAGGCAGTGGCTTTGCCTACCAACCACTGCTGAAAGATGGTGAAGGTCGTCTCTGCTTCTTTCTATCAGTGATTTCATTTTGGAGACTTTCTACTTTTCCTCTGCCACATTTCAGAGAGACGCTAGATCAAGTCCATTTTATTAATGCAGCCAAAAATCACGCATGTGCCTCAGAGCGCTTTATGATCTGGGCCACTTCAGACATCATCTGCTCTTAAACACTTAAGGGAATTAGATTTTTACTCCACTATTTTAGACACAACATGAGATAAATATGGTTGCTGGTAGGTGAACATATTTACAGCTCAGTTACATAATAAGCTTTTGATTTTACAAGACTTGTTTTCATGACTCTTTTTTGCTGAAATGTGTTCACTTTCTTAATCTTTAATGCAGTTATTCTGCTTGCACTGGAGTATTTTCCACTGTGGTACAGATACTTCCAGTGAACGCTCCACCTCCATAAAGCTGGAGGACTTGACAGACACAGATTTTAACAAGAACGACCTAAATCTGCGTGGCAGAGGCAGCAGCATCCATGTGAGGATCCAGAAGACACTAGAGCCTTTATTCCTTTAGACCATCCATGACTGCGTGTCAATCTCCCTGCTGTCCAAGCTGTTTTACACTGCGTAGTACTCCTCATGACTAGCAGAAGGACTCTGATATGTAAAAGTGCCCTGTGCCTTAGAGGATATGAGTTCTTCTTGCTGCCACTGATGAGGATTGTTAAGCCTTTAAACAGTGGTCTTATGTTAAGAAACCTGAGGCTGCAGAGGTACAGTGATCTTAAATGTTTTGATCATATACATGTGGAGGCAGCAGGAAGTGCTCACACTGTGTTGTTGATGTCAGTGTACCAGCGGCTGTCAAACCCTGGCTTCCTCTCCTCATTTCCTTTCTCCTGTCCTGCAGCCTTCCTCTGTGCCTCTTCTTTCTCCCTAGCTCTCCTTGTCAGGTATTCATTCTCTTGCTCCCAGATGTGCCTGGTCACCTCCTGCAGGCCCTGACAGGCGCGAATCCTCTCCGAGCGGCTGATCTCCGTCCCGTCCAGCCACTGAGGACACAGACAATCAGCAGGGAGCAGCATTACACAGATGCTCTTATGTCTTTTAACCCAGGGCCAAACAGTTCTTGTTGATCTAGGCTTTAAACAGACAGCTAGCTACCCAACAGTTAAATTAACTTGATGGTTCGACAGACATTCAAGTAAACACAAGTGAATAAAAGTGAAATTAGCCATTTAAATCCATCTTATATGTTGCTTTTTCAGAGCTGTCTGGCAGTGATTCTACCAGGATGCCGTGGTATGAGGCCGTCAAGGTGACGTTACCTTGAGCTGAGGCAGAGAGGCTACCACATACTGCCTGTAGCCGTCAAACTCGGTGCAGGGGTTCCCCACCAGGAACAGCTCTCTCAGATGGATGTTGTGCTGCAGAGACTGCACGCTGCTCAGACAGCCCACAAAGTTCACGGTCAGGTCCAACTTCTGGAGGCTCTCACAGCCTGGAGACAGGAAGCAACACAGACACCATGTTTATTTATTTACAGGCGCAACTCAAATGTTGAATAAAACCTAGTGTGTTTTTTACTGACTCAACAGTGATGTGATGCTAACGGCGAGCCAAACAGTGAAACAATGTTGTACTGAAGAGCTTCTGGCGTCACCTTGTCCACTGAGGGTTTTATGATTCTCTTTGTGTAAGATGTTTCTTTGGATTGTGGTAAAATGTGATGGGCTTGTACTTTTATTAACATCTAAACAAGTCAATCAAAAATCTATAAATAAACCAGCTAATAACCCTGTTAAATGCAGCCCCGGTCCCAGCTTAACTAAGTGCAAGTAGCAGTCAACGTTAACAGGCTCCCAGCTGTCTGTGTTCTGCAATCTGACCTTCAAGGTTTTCAATGACTTCAATGTTGTTCAAGGCCAGGTTCAAATACTCCAGTTTCTTCAAGCGACCAAGATTTTCTAGGGGAAAAACTGGACTGTAAATAGGACATTAAACAAATGACAAAACACAAACATGGAGTCTGAAGTAGTAAACACTGATTTAGTGATTATCTAGTTAGCAGACATCTGGATTACAACTGGGTGAATTTGGCTCATTGCACCTGAAAGAACAGTGCCACCATGTGTCATCTAGATCTCTGAAATCCAGTGTTTCAGTTTTAACCTAAAGTTAAAAAGTTGTTTAAACTCAACAGTCTAGCTTTCTTCACGCATCAGGAACAGCTTGCACTGAGTATCAGAAATATTACATTTGATCTGTTTTGAAGGATAAATCGATCAATAGTAAAAACAATGATTTCATCTCACAAACCCATGGATGTCCATGCAGGAGCAAGTTACTGTTCAGGTGTGTTCACAAGTCTATTCAAAGTGGAATCATCCACTTCTCTGTCTAACATTTGAAGGTTCCTAGTCTACACCTCCACCAACAGCCAAAACTGAAGTAAATTTATAAAGTCCCCAAAATGATCTAACTGCTCTCTAATGTATTGTTACATTTCACCTGTTCACTCAACGCCCAAAATACCAGAGGCACAATGTGAAACACAAAACACAAGATTTGTAGTTGATGTTTGCGCTTGTAAACCACAGTGAGCCGCACACCGATGCCTCACCTATCCTGGGGATGAGGTTGTTTTGCAGGTAGAGGATCCTCAGGTCCCTGCACCACCTGTCGATGTGCTCGATCCTCTCGATGTCCTGCTGATGCAGAGACACTTCTTCCAGCGAGAATATCTCACACTCGTTGTGCTCGGCCCGCCGGCGGACCATGTCCTGTGTTACTGGATGGAAACACAGGCACACAAGGAGGACAGTCTGGACAGCCATGACAGACGGACAGTTACCTTTCACATTAACTTTGAAATTAGCAGTAGAGGAAGCAGAGCCTAGTCATCAGTCACACGGCTAACCAGCGGTTAAACCATATAAAATGTTGTGCAAAGGACAAAAATCTTTTTCTTCCTGGTGATACACACCAACTGAAGCTAAGCTGTATTGTACTGACTAACAGTGACGTTAGTAGTGTGGCGTCAGCTAATCAGCTCAACTAGTTACTAGTTAGTTATCGCTAATGTAACATGGGGCCTCACCATATCAAAAACTTTGCTATGTAGTAAGGTTTTAACTAAAACACACATTACCAGAGAAATGTTAACGGTATATTGTGTTAGTTACATTTGGTTTTTCTTTTCTAACTTACTATAAACCATCTTCTCTGTTGTCAGGCGTTGCTTTGGAAACCAATTCGGTGCTGCGTTCGGTCGCTGTGGGAAATACAATAACTAATAAGAACGAAACAATAATATCTGACTAAAATAATACAAATTTTATTTGTGTACATAGTTAATATTGCATGACTGGGATGTGCATTACTGGAAACCCACAGCAATAAAAAAATAAACCTTTTATTTGGTGGAAGAAGTACTCAGATTGTTTACTTCAGTAAAAGTAGCAATACCACAGTATATAAATACTGTTAAGTCAAAGCCCTACATTCTAATAGTTACTTATGCATTAGCATCAAAATACGTTTAAAATACCAAAACTGTAGTCGTTATGCAAAATGGCACAATTCACTCACATTTATGTACATTATATTATTGAACTGATGCACTTTTGTGTTTTACACTTGATTGTTGCAGCTGGCAAAAGGTGGAGACAATGTTAAGCACCTTATATACTTTGAATTTAAAGCACTTTACATACTGCTGATGAATTTCCCATCTAATGAAGTCTTAGAATATTTGCCTTTACAATGAATTATGAAGTAGCCGAACTTGAAAATACTCAAGTACAGATACCTACAATACTAGAGTAAATGTTCTTAATTACTTTCCACTTGTGCCCTACATTATGGAGATTTGTAGTGGTTAAAAGTGAAAAACCAGTAGTGTTAACGTGCTGTTGCTTTTTACGAGCGTATGAAACTAAAGATGTAGTTTACGAGGTGTAGACGAAGGCAGCCCTGAGAATTCACTCTGAGCTTTTATTTTGAAAGCGGCATTACGGAAGTTGTTCAACGGCACAGAGATAACCGACTGACAACAAACAATCACGGCATCATCCGTCAGCGTTTTACCGACATGGTCACTCACTGCTCGGTTTCAACCAGGACGACTCCACCGTGAATCGCTGACCGTACGCTGTTGTCTTCTCCCGGTTTGGTTTGCTGCCTTGAATTTAATTCACGTTTCGGCGGTTGTTGTCGGTTACGTTCGCTCTAGATGACAAGTTACAAGGCGTTTCATTCTCAGTTGACGTCCATCATGGAGGCACTGACCAAAGCGGCCGTGGCGGAGATCTGCGAACTGGTGGAGGACAGCTACGCCGTGTTGCAGCTGGAGATCACCCGGAGCCACAAGGAGAACGAGACGCTAAGGAGGAAGCTGGAGCTCATCGAGACCATCATCGCCCGGGGGCACCGGGGTAACGGCGCTATGTTGGATTACGGCGAGCCGGAGGAGGAGGAGGCCGGCGGGGGGCTGATGGATTTCGGTAAGGTTCGGTGGGATTCACTATGTGTGCCCGGTGTTTGTATTGTGGTGGCAGGGTGAGTGGTGTGATGAATGGAGCCACGGCCGCTGCTCAGGGGACGCATCCTTCACAGCGCGCTATTGCACCAAACTCCGGTGGAAAGCCGTTCATAGAGGGGTCGTTTTCTTTGAAGGTTTTGTCATAGTGTGGTGTTGTTACTTTTACTGAAGCACAATATTTCCTCCACCAGTGAAAGTGGCCATATAAGAGAATCTTGATTCTTCTGTACAGCAGTAAAGTACAGTGAAACCCTCATACATCCCACTGGGATCAGTTAAACCCACCCAGCAAAGACCCTTGCTGGTCTCTGGGCTCCGGGCTCGCATAAGGAACCTTTCTAGTAACCGTCTGATTTTTCACCCAGAACGTGCCTTTTCAACTGGGGTGGGCGCCAAACAGCCAAAAGCAAATGTGAAAAGAAGAGTCCTTGCTGTGGAGGTGGCGACAGAGATGAGCCCTGCGCCCAAACAGGTGAGACAACGCCAGCGCAGCACAGGTCCAGGTTCAGTTCAACATGTCCTCTCTGCTCCAACACGTCTGTCTGTACAGGTTTAGGTTTAGGCACCTTTGTCTGAGGAGAGGTCAACAGTGATGTACCTTTGTTGGATTGACTTTTTTACGCACAGTTTTACGCTTTTATTGTTTATTCCATCTCACTGTAACTTTGCCTTTATTAACACTAAACTATCATGACACTAGCACTATGCAGTAAATCTAGCAGCTGGAGTCCTGCTCCTCTTTCTGGACAGCTGTCAGTTTGCTATCAGGGTGTTTGATGCTGTTTTCATAAACTCACATTTGTGTATTATTTTTACAGCTCAACTAAATGCATCACTTTTTTAGCCTGCAGCAATGTACTGCGTCGCTTTTTGAAGGTTTCATGTACAGTTGAGATGATTAATCTCAGTTTATCAGCAGAAAACTAAATACTATCACAGCTATTGATGATCAGTTGTTTGCTGCTTTATTTAGTCTTACTGTATGTGATAAACTGTATATCTTCATACTTTTGATCCGTTAGTCAGACAAAAACAATTCGATAGGAAGGTATGACTTAGTTTTAATCATTTAATAATAAGCTGCATCACATTTAATTGATTAATCTGCAACCTTTCTGATAAGGTTATAGTCATGTTTTAAGCTAAATATTTTTACTTTTTTCAGCTTAATTGTGAGAACGTGATGCTTTTTCTTTGTCACATGTGACAGTAAACCGAGTATCTTTGGGTTTGGGACCATTGCTCAGACAAAACAGGACATATATGAAGATTCTAACAGCCTTTATCGCCGTTTCTGACATCTTAGATAAATAATTGGTCTGTTAGTTGAAAATCAAAGTACTGTTATTTGCGGCCCTAGTTTAGAGCACACAATCAGTGAAAATAAATGGCTAATTGTAGTGTTCAGCACATCTGTGAGTGTATTAGAGTGAACCAGTTTGTGTTCTACCCTCAGGACACCGTGTCAGCAGCTGCAGAGGAGCCAAACGATGAGGACGTGGTTTTGATAAAGGAGGAAGCAGCAAAAGAGGAGGTGAGCGACGATGCCACCGATGAGCTGCTTCTCAACGTCGAAGGTAAGAGAACTGTGACTGTTCAGGAACCAACACTGAATCTACTGCCACACTCACTAACAGCCGAGGGCAACGCTGAATGATGTGCAGAGGAGGAGACGGTAAAACGGCCACATGGATTCTGATCCGGTCATTCTGACAACGCTCACACAGTCAGAGGTCGGAGAGGAATTGGGTCTAGGAGCATATACGCAGGTGGCCCAGATCTGGTCTGGTCTGTTCACACTGGTGTGGACACACCAGGTCTGGGGCACTGGGAGGGAAAATTCAGGTCTGTGATGTGAACACAGCCAAAGACGCTTTCTGTGACTGTGTATATCAGGTGGAATGGCTTGTACTAAACTGACTGTAGAGCTGCACGTTTCAGCCATGTGAAACATCATTACAGTGACCAGACTCAACACACTTTAAAATCTCAGCATGTTTCTTGGGAACACTAGGGTCTGATTTTAAAAATAGAAATGACATTTTGAGAGGAGTGTTTGTCAAACAGCTCCTTTGTCTTATTAACCACAGAATCTGTCACATTGTTGAACTCAGTGTGCATTGATGTGTGTGTGTGCAGGGATGGAGGTGCCGCCATCAGCAGCAGATGACAGTAAAGGATCCTCTGCCATGATGAGGTCCAGCTCAGTGGCCGACGTGAGGCCGTGGGATCCCAGCAGTAACGGACTGTCAGAGCCAGCTGAGCACCAAGAATCCCACAATCCGCCAGGGTCCCCAGGCCCTGCAGGGTCCGCTGAGAGCAGCTCAGATGTGGTGTTTGATTTGGCCTCTGAGTCAGACTGTGATGCTCCGACGAGGACGTCGCTCCTCCTCGGGCCTGGAGGGAGTCCAGGCTCGCTACCGGGGACCTCTGAGCAGAAGCAGGGCACATCTCTGATCAGTTCCCTCCCCTACGACACAGAGCTGGATCTGTGCTCCTCGTGGACCAGTCAGGGCCTGCCGAGCATGGTTTCTGTGCCTCATCGGTCGTACCTCAAACCAGACCGCCGGCCGGCGCTCTTAGACAAAGTGCCCGACTTGAATGCAGCAGGTTTCCCCTTGGGGTTGGGCCTCGGTGGCCCCAGACTGGACTCACTGGACCTGAACAGGTACTGCAGAGATAGGCGATTTGTCTGCAGCTACTGCGGCAAATGCTTCACGTCGTCACGGAGCCTGGAGACTCATGTGCGCGTTCACACCGGTGAACGGCCGTACAGCTGTGCTCAGTGTGGGAAGCGCTTTACGCAGTCAGGACACCTGAAGACGCACCAGAGCGTCCACACTGGAGAGCGGCCATTCGCCTGCGAGCACTGCGGGAAGAGGTTCGCTGGGAAGCAGAACCTGAGGATCCACCAGCAGAAACACCACCTGGCAGAACAAGGAGCTGCTGCTGTTTAACACAACAGGAAGGACAAACTACCTGCTGAAATATATGCACCCAGGGTTTGGCCTAGGCGAAGCCACAGCCAGACCGTGACAGAGCATGACCACACTGCTCTCACTGTTACTCAGCTTCCAAGTTACACAGAGCCTTTCAAGTCGGAGGCTCGTTGAGGTGGTTTTAGAAGAAACTGGTGATTTTTCTATAGACGACCTGATTAATAGTTCTGTTTTAATTTTGTCAGGCCTTACAAGTTCTTAACTGCCTTGGTAGAAAATCAAAGTGAGACTACATCCTGATCCAGATCAGTTCTTACCTCCAGAAGAAGGTGGGCTGTCCTTCACTGTGGTCCACCCTGCTGACAGTGGATCCTGTAGAGAGTAGACAGAAGCGTGTGAATGTTCACCAATCGGTGCATTTCTGGAATTTAAAGAGTGCAATTTTGAATGAACAGTTTGGTTTTAAAATTTTGAAAGCACTGAATTCTGTTTCCTCTGCTGTATTTCTCTTTTGTACGTCAGCTCAGAATCAACTTTTCTCGCGTGTGACCAAGAAGAGCAGCAACTCTTTACATTTTGAAGCTAAAACCAGAAAATGTTTGACGTTTGTTCTAAACAATGACTGAAGTGAGTCACTGTCAGAATAGTTGCTGATTTTCTTTGGATGGACTAAACAATCGACTGATCACGGCAGCTCTGAAACTTGTTTTTACTGTTGAATCCCTTCATTCTGCTGCTTAGTCAGATCACATTAAATTAATAAAGTGTGTTTGTTGTCACATGTTGGTTAACTAGAAGTATGACTGTTGTTACCTGCAGGTTAATACACCTTGAGCAGGGTTCAACTAGTTTTAACAGACACCCGCCAGCCAATCAGAAGTGAGGATTTGCCCTCCAAGCCAGTGCATCACTGTTCCTTTGTCTCACCATTTTGTTCCCGATTCACAGTGTGAACAAGATCATCGCGCACGGACACTGCTCCCCTTTCACACAGTTCAGGGAAATATTCAAAATATTTACTGTTAAAAGATTCTATCACTTCAGAATAGGTCCATATAAACTGAAAACCAAAGAATTTGCAGCACATTTTATCTTCAGTCACTTATTTACCCATCAGTCCATATGCTGTTTTTAAATTAGTTCTATTTTTAATCCATTTCTACTTTAATTTACCTTTTTATTAGTTGTATTCTTTAAATATATCTTTTTCGCCACCTATATTTTTAACTGCTTATTCACTTAAAACATTTTTACATCTACACATTTGTTTTAGTGCATTTTTTCAGTCTACTTTTTAAAAATATTTCCTTATCCCAGCAGTCTAGGCCTATAGCATAACTAAGGGAAGGCTCGGGGTCACCCCAGCCGGACCTGACTAAGATTTATCAAAAAGGAAAGTTTTAGACTTTAGCATTTTTAAATTTAATTATTGTATTTATTTTACAATTGTTTTATTTTATATACTTGGTTTTTGACCAATTTGTTCTACTACTAAAATAGTTATTTTAATGCATTTAGAGCTATTCCGTATACAGTATATTCTATTTGATCTCGTTGCTTTTTAAAATCGACCTTTTTGTCTCTATATGTGGCTATATAATCTACATATTTAATCTGTTTTTATTCCACATATCTGAAGATTCTAACAGTTTCATCTGTTTAAATGAATTGGTAGAAGTTAAATATTCTTAATATAGTGGAGAACAGCTTTTGTTGTACCTATCTAGCTCCAGACTCCCTCTGCCTCCCTCGCCCATGACAAGCCAGACTTTCATAACAGGATTTTATTTTGTAATCTGTGTTATCCCGGAAGTGCAGGCGGACCGGAAGAAGAAAACGTCCTCTTTTGTGGTGGTCAGCGACGCACAGGTTTCGTGTCCGAACACATTTACTCATCGTCGACTTAATCGCGCGTTTCCGAGCCTCCTGGTCCCCCCTGTGACCCGTCAGGACGAGTCAGAGCCCGGCTCTGTTTCCTGTCCAGCGGCGGTATGGCCGTCTTAACCAGCAAGGCGATCCACGAGCAGCTGTCAGTCATCATGGGCGCGCTGACCAAAGCGGCGGTGGCGGAGATCTGTGAGGTGGTGAACGAAGGCTACGCGGTGCTGCAGATGGAGATCACCCGGAGTCACAAGGAGAACGAGGACCTGAAGAAGAAACTGCACCTCATCGAGTCCATCGTGGTTCGGGGGAGCAGCGGGGAGAGAGCGACGGTGGAACTAGACGTCCCACCGGCCGCGGAAGGCGCACCGCAGGCGGAACGTGGAGACACCGCTACAGCGGCTGGGGGGGGCGGAGGGGGCGC